AAAAAGGAGCTGCATGACTCCGAAGGCCAGCAACTTGCTCTCAACAAAGAAATTATGGTTTTAAAAGACAAATTGGAGAAAACCAGAAGAGAAAGGTAAGAATCAAATTATTTTGTCATCCAGCAAATATCTGCTAAGTATATATTGTGTGCCAAGTCCTGGGAAACTCAGGCAGTAGGTATAGCCGAGCTCCAGCAGGGGCAACGTCCTGCGGCAGGAAAGACAGCAGAGGAGGGGTAAGGGTGGAAGCAGATGGGAGAGGTGCAAGAAGGGCCTTCCAGGCTTCCCGGGAAGAAGTGCATCTGAGCTGGACCTCAAGAGTTAGGAAGAAGGAAGTGGGGGTGTCCATGCAGAGGTGGCCGAATGGCTGAGACCCACAGGAAAGGAAATGTCACACATTCGGAAAACAAGTGCTACTTACTGTGGCAGATGCACACATAGAGAAACAGAGTGGTGAGACATGAGATAGGAAACAAAGCAAAACACAAGCAAATGTGTGAATGAATGTAAGGAAAGTTACATGATAGTATTTATATTTTGGGATGGTCACTTGCTACCTTGTAGAGAATGACTGGAAGGATCCAGAGGAATCCAGCTGTAAAATGAGGTAGTAGTCCATAGGTAATACTGAAGTTGGAAGAAAGTGTGATCGATTCAGAAATTCTGCTGAAAAGACAATCTGCAGGACAGAAGGGGGCATCTATGAGAAGAGAGAGCAGGGGGAATTATCAGTAATACTCAGGTTCTAGGTTTCAGGCAACGGAATAGATTTTTTTGGCATGCATCCTGTATTATTTATATTGGAAGCCCACATTTTTGCAGTCTGGTGCATTCTTGACAAATGCAAAGTACTATTGTACATACTGTGGTATGGCAGTGAACAGACTGACTTCAAAAGGCTGTCCTCCTGGAACCCGCTCTCAGTTGGTGAGACAATAAAGTCCATAAGGAAGTGTGGAGCACAGTACATAATGATCTGGGCTGAGAACAGACATGCAGAAGGAAATGGCCATTGATGAGAAGATTAAATTCTGTGCACAAAAGGGAAGAGGAGATGGCTGGAGGAGCTTGAACTGAGGTGACATCCCAGTGAAGAGTAAAGAGAGTGTAGACTGTATGCGACTGAGTGAGAACATTGTGTACAAAGGAAAGCCCACCTGTTCAGTGTGCTGAGCAGGCCTCAGGCCGTAAGAATGTTAAGAGCTCACTGTAAATGAACTTCAGCTGCTTGGTAGATGTGTGGAGTAGGCTGGTTACAGGGGTGGAAATATAATCCTGAGTGTCATTCTCCTGTGCTGTTTAAAGCTATGAGTCTGAATTCGATCATTTAGTGAATGAGCATAGAAGGTCCTAGAACTGAGCTCTGGGGCAATGCAGTCTTTAGAGCCTAGGAGATGAGGAAGAACTAGCAAAGTGAATAGAGAGAGAACAATAAGAAGAAAACCAGACAAGTGTGGTTTTTGAGACCCCAATCAAGAAAGGGCGTCAACTCTGTTGGTGTATAGATAACCTCATATTGTGAAAAGAATTACACAATGGCACTTGTGCTTAGCAACATGTGACTTTGATAACAACAGTCTCAGTGTAAAAATGGTCATGAGAGCCCTGAAGGAGAGCCGGTGGAGCAGTGTGCAAGTAACACTAGTGCTTGAACTTGTTACTGCACAAACAAGCAGTGAAATGGGAGCTGGAGAAGTTTACCTCCAGTTACTGTGCTCTTCGGTGGTGGTGGTGGTGGTGGTGGTGTAGGTGTAGGTGTAGGTATGGGGGGGGGGTAGGGGGTGTTTACTAAGTAGAAATGATAACGCAGTTGTAATCTGACAGAAACTGGCCCAATAGATGATTCAGTAGAGTTGGAAGGAAGGTAGTAGAGCAATGAAGAGACGAGCCTTACTCAGGCATGTTTAGTTTTACCTATAGAAAAGAAGAGATTCTAAGTGGGTACGGGTGAAGTCAGCTAGGGAGGTGATTCTGGTTTTTGTGTTGAGTTGGGAGTGTTGGGTGTGAAATGCTTGGGAGACACTGGTGTGGGATATATTAAGACAGCAGTTTAAAGCCCTGGCAAGTTCCCAGTGTGGATTCCAAGAACCACTGATGTAGTAGGTAGTAGCTGAAACCAGGTGACATGGTTAAGTACTCGGGGAGAATGTTGGGAGAAGAGGTGAGCATCTGAGAGGGCGTTCTGGGGGGCGGCCAGTGGCCTGCTGCAGGCTCAGTGTGTGATGACCCATCTGAAATTCATTCCCTTACTCATTTTCTTTTCCTGCGCTTGTGTGAACTCTCTAAGAGGGCCTGTTTATAAAACTCACAGGAATTTATTTGTTGGTAAATAACAGATGATTTAGAAATTTTGTTAAATGACTAAATAAGCCAGCCCATCACTCTTACATCATAAAAAATCAAGACAGAGACTCACTGTGTAGCCCTGGCTGGCCTAGAATCCACTCTGCAGACCTGGCTGGTCTCAGACTCCATGATCCCTCTGCCTCCTGAGTGCTGGCACTAAAGGCATGTGTTATCATGCCCAACACATTGTAGATTCTTGGAGAGGTTGTTCATGCGGCCTGTCCTTACATGTCACCATACTCTGTTCTTTGTGACTGTTCTGTATTTCAGTCTGATTCTTATGTAGTTGCTGTATAAATGTTACAAAAATACTTTTTTTTTTTTTGGTTAACTTTTGATCCACTTCCTTTTTCTGCTTTTCTGTTTTGAATTGTGCCAGTCAAAGTGAAAGGGAAGAATTTGAAAATGAGTTCAAACAACAATATGAACGGGAAAAAGTCTTATTAACAGAAGAAAATAAAAAGTTAACGAGTGAACTTGATAAGGTGAGTGATTCAATCTCCCTTGGTCTAGTACATGCTGGGTGTCATGAACTGTGGTTTAGTCATGATTATTGTCACTTTGTGTTGTGTGTCATTTAATGGTCCTCACAAGGTGTCAGTGTCTGTGTGACAAGGTCTTGTTACACCATCGCTGTCAGACTCTCCAGTTCAGCTTCTCCCATCTTTTTGCCCTCCTGTGCCCCTCCCCATCACTACCTTTTTTGACATGGCATCTCATGTAACCCAGACTAACCTTGAACTTATTTTATAGATGAATTTAGCCTTGAATTATTGATTCTCCTGCCTTTACCCCATACACACACAAATGCTGGGATTACATTCTTGCACCACCATACCCAGCTCATTTGTGTGTGTATATATGACCTGTGGCTTTATAGATAGAGACTTATTAATCATAATGAATTAGCTAAAGTTACAGACTCCAGCAAGTCCTAACAGCTGCAGTTGGCACTGTCGAGAATGAGAGAGCCTCTGGTGCTGGTCTAGTCCATTCATTCATTGGCAATCTAAGGGAGCCTCTGGTGCTGGTCTAGTCCATTCATTCATTGGCTTTCTAAGGGAGCCTCTGGTGCTGGTCTAGTCCATTCATTCATTGGCGATCTAAGGGAGCCTCTGGTGCTGGTCTAGTCCAGTCGTCGGCAGTCTAAAGACCAAAGAATTGCTGCAGTCTCTCCTTGAAAACAGAGTTTTCAGACTTGTCAGTTCCCTTCTACCTGGAGTGTGCCCGCCTCAGTTGAAGAGGATAGTCTTCAGTACTCACTACTAACACAAATAACAGTTTTATCCATGAATATCCACACAGACATATTCATGATAACATTTCAACAAATATCTGGGTTCCTCTGTCCCAGTCATGATGACCTATAAAATTAAGGACAGTGTGATTTCTCATCACAGAACAGTTCTGTGAATAGCTTTTCTCAGAAAATTGTCCCCCATCAGCTTTACATGTTAAAAAGGCGACCTAGGATCTCTGGAACACGAGGAAGAGAGAAACACAGCAGCTGGTGGCAGCTGGGGACCACGTCAGGAAGTGGAAGGACGCAGCAGCCTGAGTGTTTTAACTCAAGAGAATTTCCACCGGTAACGTGTGACGTGCGTGGAGAAACTGCCGTGCAGGGCAGCAAACCCAGACGGTCCCCGCAAAGCTGACCGAGGGCAGGGAAACGGGACAGTCGGCATCAGCACAAGTGTGCGAGCTCAGCCGGCCGTGCTCATGAGCTGGCCTTCAAGTAACTGGGTTGCATGTTCAAGCAAGGAGACAGGGTGGAGAATTTCAACAAGTAACTGGAGTTTATGCAGAATAATCAAACAGAATTTTGAAAATTTAAATTACCAAAGTACACTATAGAAAGTTTTAGCAGCATATTAGAAACAGACCAGTAAATAACAGCTAACTAAATAAAAGAGATTAGATTTGGGCAGGGCTCCCAAAAACAAAACAAACCAAAAAGGGAGCATAAAGGTATGGAAGATGATGAAATGATAAGAAGAATTAACGTGCAGATAATGGGTTTCCCAAAAGGAGGGTGAGTGAGACTGTTACATAAACAATATGTGAAGTTAATGGCCTAAATTATTCAAAATGTGTGTGTATGTAAACAGGTACACGTTTTTAAATACCAAAAACTATAAAGGTTCTCAGTCATGGACCTGCCCAAAGCAGGAGCCGACATAGGATACTAAAAGCAGCCAGAGAAGGCATATGGTGCTCGGGGTGAAAGACTGAAAGCTGAACTCTGAGTAGGGAAAAGAAAAAAGCAATCCAGGAGGGAAAGAAAGGCACCTTCCAAACACCACAAAAAGTGACTGCCAGAGTCAGATGTTACATGTTAGGTTTCATGAAGAAACCTGGAAATAAAATACTTCAAGCATATCACACATTCGCAGTGGATCATGATTTAACTCAACCAACCTGGGTGGTTTGGGTTTTTTGTTTTGTTTTTTTTAGCATGTTGAAATAAATAGAAATTTCAACAATGGGAAGTTTGTTTTAAAGTATTTGTGTAGTATAGATGTATACATTTGTATGTGGTATATGTGTGTACATTTGTGTGTGGTGTGTGTGTGTGTACATTTGTGTGTGTGATATATATGTGTGTGTTTGTGCATGCACAGGTAGGTGAGTAGAAGCTAGGTGTTCCTCAGTAAATGTCCCTCTTTTTTTTTTTTTTTTTTAAAGCTAAAGTCTCTCACTGAACCTGGAGGGAGTCACTGCTTTGGCTAGATGGCCAGTGAGCAGCCACGGTCCTCTTACTCCAGCCCTGTGCTGGGGTTACAGACACCGGGGTTCCAGTGCACCCGGCCACACCTGGCCTTTTCACACGTGTGCTGAGGCCCAGAACTCAGGTCCTCACGCTGGCACAACAAAAATTTATTGACTGAGCCATCTCCCCAGACTCAGGTTTCTTAAGTTTAGGTACAAAATGTTTATATTTAAAATGAAAGAGCATCATTTTAAAAGAATATATTTTACAAAGAAGTTTTTATGGTCAAAACACATTCTTTTTCCTGGAGCACAAATGATAAGAGATTGCTGTTGAGGTGTGGTAGTCGGGAAGTTGGGTGTTGGGCTCGTGAGAGTTCACTTACAGCATCTTTTTTTTACTGTTAAGTACATTATCTGTTTTATTTCATTTTCTCTGTTCTTTTGGACTGGCATTCATTTGTGCACAATTTCCTTTTATTTTGTTATAACCTTTATTTTTATTTTATGTGCATGGATGTTTTGCCTGCCTGCATGTCTGTATATCATATGCACACAGTGCTGATGGAGGTCCAAAAAGGGGTCATATCCCCTGAGTCACAGGTCATATATCCCCTGGCTGCTCTTTTAGAGGATCTGGGTTTGAATCCTAGCACCCACATGGTGACTCAAAAAAACCATTTTTGTATGTGCTTGTGATTCTTTTTTTTTTTTTTTTTTTTTTTTTTTTTTTTTTTTTTTGGTTTTTCGAGACAGGGTTTCTCTGTGTAGCTTTGCGCCTTTCCTGGAGCTCACTTGGTAGCCCAGGCTGGCCTCGAACTCACAGAGATCCGCCTGCCTCCGCCTCCCGAGTGCTGGGATTAAAGGCGTGCGCCACCAACGCCCGGCTGCTTGTGATTCTTTATAAGATTTTTTTTTTAAAGTTAACATGGCAATTGCAGAAAAAGGAGGGTGGGGGCGACAGAGAAGGAAGAGAGGTTGTTATCTGGAGATTGGATGATGTTTTTCAAGTAGATGAAGAATATTCATAATTAGAACCAGTTTCATGTAGGGTGTGAGGAAAAGCAAAGAAAACAGGAAAATTCAAAGTGCTCCTCATTCCCAAATTCTGTCTTCAGTGTAGTGTGGAATAATAAAAAGACATACACTTTAGTGGAGGATTATGCGTTATTAGATGGAACAGCGGGTGTCTAAGTCCGGGGAAGTCCTGTTGCTAAAAGCCACTCACGCCTTCACACTGCCTTCCAGCTGACCACGCTGTATGAGAACTTAAGTGTACGCAACCAGCACTTAGAAGAAGAGGTCAAGGATCTAGCAGACAAGAAAGAATCAGTTGCTCACTGGGAAGCCCAAATCACAGAGATAATCCAGTGGTGAGTGCTCTTCCAGACGTGCTGGGGGGGGGGGGGGGTTGAGAAGTCCTAACACCCTTCCTCTTCTTTGTTTGGTGGAAAGTAAGTTACTTTACAAGAAGGGAAAAGGTGAGCCTTTAAAGAACCCAAGAAACACATCCACTTGCTTTTGATGTTCTTTTCTAAGGTCAAAACTGCATATTTATGACTACTTTAAGCAACCGATAGCCTGAGAAAAATGTAGAAGGTGAACAAGACTGTGTTTGCAAGTATATCAGTTCAGGCATTTTTAACTAAGTGACTGCGGCTCAGCCTCACACACTATTTCCTCTGCTCTTGGGACTAATTTTGATTATTTGGTGTATGAATTTTGTCATCTTGATTCACTACATGCTTGTTACCATGCTTATAAAAATCTGCATATTTTATACTGTGTGGAGAAAGCGAAATCCATTGAAGACTTTTATTTCCTAATAACTTTTGTATTTATTTAAATCTTTACCCATTTAACTTTATGTCAGAATAGTTACTTTATGTATCTACAATCCAGTTAATTATTTATTGAAGATTTTAATTTCCTGTTATTAATTTTGAGTTTAATCAGTTTTCAATTTCCCTTTTCAAATTCCTAACATCCCTTTTAAATCAAACGTGAATAAAATGTATTAAGTAACTTGACTCTGATAGCCCAAATATATCTATACTGACCTAACTGTAGAGTTCTGGTAACTAATGCTTGCAGACGTGCCCAGATTGTAGAAATTTACTATGTTACCAAAAAATACAACTGTTAGTTCATTAATGCTTAATTTATATCCACATCATTGGGTTTATATTTCTAAAGAGAACCATTTTAACATTTAGCCAAGTTGATCATGGATCTGTAAATAACAAAAGATAGAGCTGAAAAATTGCTTTATAAATGATTTTTCTAAAACCTATTATTCTAGACCACCTCTCTGTTTTCCAGTGACTGGAGAATGGGAAGTGATCCTGATGAAGGAAGCAATCTGTATTCATTCATTCATTTATTCATTCATTCATTCATTCATTCAGTAACTCATTCATTCATTTACTCATTCATTCAAAAGACAGTTCTCATCACATACTCAAGGCTGACCTCAAATTCTTGGTCTTCCAGAAGAAAAGAGTAGCATCATCTAAACAAACACTACAGGAAAATAACTGCCAACTTAAGATGCTAAATACAAAGTATTGTGAAGAAACATAAATAAAATAGACTTAAGTGTCATAGTGAAGCATTGTGGTACATATGTTTATTGGCCCACGATTCAGTTTGAAATAACTAGAAATTTCAACAGTAGGAAATTTGTTTTTTAAAAAATGTGTGGGCATGCGTGATTAATAATAATCATTATTATTAATACTAATACTTTTAGAAAACAGGAGTATTTTGTTATAGCATAACTCTGATTTCTGCAGAATATTGTACTTTAAATTTCCTAAATCCAATTTACATCAGCTTTAAAGAAAGTATGCATGTTTTTTTGTGAGATGAAATGTCAGAATCCACATAAGGAGAAATCTTAGTAGTCTTCAGAAAGCCCCACACTTGTTCAGTGTGAGACCTAAAGAGTTATCATTTGTGGTCCAGGGTGATTGAAAGGGTTCGTTAAGTATCTAGGGTTTGGGACTTAGTTCTCAGTGAAGCTTTAACTTACATACCCCACTGAAGTTTTCCGTCTTTGACTTTGTACTCCATGTCCATCTTGTGTGTGTATTCCAGGGTGAGTGACGAAAAGGATGCGCGAGGCTATCTTCAGGCCTTAGCTTCTAAAATGACAGAAGAATTAGAAGCATTGAGAAATTCCAGCTTGGGGACCCGAGCAACAGTAAGCTCTGCCGCCTCACCTGGGCGCTCACCTCTTCGGAGAGCAGGAAGCGCTCGCTGTGTCTCACGACCAGGACCCAGGCTCTCCTCACTTGTTGCAGGAGTTGTCATGAGAAATAGTTAGCTTAGGTCTTTTCCAGTTCAGGAAAATGGAAAATGTCACTGTCAGCTGTTATTTTACAGCTGGCCATTATTGAAGGAGCTGAGAAGAAAAACCAGTTACTTACTTTCATTTATACATATTGACTGTTATTTCTGGATTTGATGAAAAATGCATTTTCACAAATTGCTTGCCAGTTCCACTGAGTTTCAGTGATATAAAGTAGCTTCTAGATTCACTTGTGTTATAAAATTTAAATGTTCAGAATAAAGTAGGAAGAACTAAAGCATAATCTTATTATTCTATAGGATATGCCCTGGAAAATGCGTCGTTTTGCAAAACTGGACATGTCAGCTAGACTAGAGTTACAGTCAGCTCTGGATGCAGAAATAAGAGCTAAGCAGGCCATCCAGGAAGAGCTAAATAAAGTTAAAGCATCTAACATCATAACAGAATGGTAAGGACCAATAATTTAGTCCTATAACAATAGTTTATAAGTTTGTTGAAAAGTATGTGGAACAAAGTTGCATGTTTAGGTGCCTACCTGCTGTTTTGTATTTGTTTTTTAAACAAAAAGTGATGATCACATGGTTGGGAATACTATCAAATAGTACAGTGCTTCCGGGCATGCCCAGGGCCCTGCGTCTGACCCCCAGCTCTGCCCCCAGCCAACAAAAGTGATGATCAGGTTTGGGGAGATGCTCAGTCAGTACAGTGCATACCTTGTGAGCATGAAGACCTGACGTTTGATCTCTGATCCCCACATTAAAAAAAAAAGAAAAAGCTGGAGCCATGGCATCTGCCTGTAATCCCAGACTCCCAGGGCTGGAAAGGCAGGGACAGGAGGGCTCCATGGCTCACTAGATACCTGGCCAGATCAGTGCACTCCAAAGTCAGTGAGAAACTCGTCTCTGAGACTAAGGTGAAAAGCTGTTGAGGAAGACACCTGGTGCTGACCTCTGCCCTTCACATTCGTGCAGGCACCCAATCACATACACACAAAGTGCACACATACACACAAATGTACACAAAGTGCACATACACACCCAGACACATGCACACAAAGTGCACATACACACCCAGACACATACACATAAATGCACACAAGTGTATACACACACCCAGTCACATGCACACAAATACACACGAAGTGCACACACACACAGACACATACACACAAATTCACACAAATTGCACATACATACCCAGACACATACACACAAATGCACACAAAGTGCACACACACACCCAAACACATACACACAAATTCACACAAAGTGCACATACACACACACACAGACACATACACACAAATGCACACAAAGTGCACACATACACACAAATTCACACAGAGTGCACACACACCTAGACACATACACACAATTCACACAGTGTACACATATCCAGACACATACACACAAATACACACAAAGTGCACACACACACCCAGACACATACACACAAATACACACAAAGTGCAACACACACCCAGTCACATACACACAAATTCACACAAAGTGCACACACACCCAGCACATACACACAAATTCCACAAAGTGCACACACACACCCAGACACATACACACAAATACACACAAAGTGCACACGCACCCAGACAAATGCACACAAATTGGTGGCCAGAAACAGTTGTGCAGATTTGAAAAGGAAAAGATGTAATTCTAGTGAAAGTCTCACACAGCCTTGTTTTCTTTAAGCTTATCCATAGATGGTTTATTATTTTTAAATAATATTTCACTCTTTATTTTCCCCTTATTTCTAAAGTTTAGTTGGCTCAAATTTTATTCTGTTAAATCTGAAATACTCTCACATTCTGTATAGAATACAACTTTACTGTCAGAACAAATACAGACACCTGAAAATTGCAGCCTCTGCCATAGAGCTTTTACAGATGCTCATTTTAGTGATGTTAAGTTTGGGGGGGGGGGGTTGTTTGGTTTTTGGTTTGGTTTGGTTTTTTTCAGATGTTAAGTTTTGTAATGGTGAAATAATTATGATTATTTTTCAGGCTCCTTTATTTATTTAAAATAAGCAAACTCCTAGTATCCAGGGCAGTTAGCTAGTAAACATACCTGTCAATTCTTTTCACAACAGCAGCAAATTCTATTGCAGATACAGAAATGATAAAGTGAAAAATTGTAATTGGATTAGATATAAAGATGGTTCAAAAATAAGTCACAGGACTGGAGAGATGGCTCAGTAATTGAGCATTCTTAATGGTTTTGCAGGGCACGAAGTTTTGATTTTTCAGCAACCAGATCACACACCTCACAGCTGCCTGTAACTAGTTCCATAGGATCCAAACACTCTGGCCTTCTTAGGGAATTTGCATGCATGTGGTATACTTAAACTCACACAGGCACAGATCCATACTTGTGGATAAAGATAAATAAATCTTTGAAAACAATCAGTTAGTGGGTAACAGTGGAACAACAGTAAGTTCACGTTAAAAATGAACCTGTAAATTAAAAAATCCATCTGGCTCAGAAATATCAAAACTTCCAAAAGCATGAGAAGAAACACAGGGCTACAAATTTGGTTTGAAGTGGCATGATGCCGTGAGACTTGAGCTGAAGTCATTATTTTCTTATCAGAGGACAAACACACTCCTGTTGAATTATGGCCTTTTTGTTGTAAATGACGCAGGCACAAGTTAAATATGTTTTACTTAAATATGCGTATGAAGCACTGAAAGAGAAATTTTTCTGGAGACTGAAGTAACCCTTGTGTAGAGAACTACGGGATGTCATTTTCGGTGGTGTGTTTTGAATAAGTGTTCTCTTTTCCTTCCTTTCCCAGGACACTCTAACCTTTTTTCCTAACGCAGAGCTGAGTCAGTGAGAGTTAGGAACGCATGTGTGTGCTCCAGTTACACGGTGATGCGTGAGCGAGGTCTAACAGCATAGTGTTGTCCAGTTGAATAATTTAGCTCAGGGTCAGCAAGCTCTTTCTATGAAGGCCCGTGTAGACTCCTCCTCTGCTCAGCTCTGTGGCCCCAGCACAGCAGCAGCTCTCTTGTCCTTACGTTTTCCCATGCTGCACATGCCAGTCGAGTCCTCTCTCCTAGACTGCATCTCAGCCCTGGCCGCCATCTTCTTCACAGAAATGAGCGTCTGTATAATAATATGAGCGTCTGCATTTGTCCTGAGTGCAGTAGTTTACGGTCTTCTACTTTAGCCTCACAGACATTTAAACCAAATAAGCTGAGCTACACAAAATGAACTAATGACTGTTTCCCTTTTCCCGCTTATTTTAGTAAACTGAAAGATTCAGAGAAGAAGAACTTGGAACTGCTGTCGGAAATTGAGCAGCTGATAAAGGACACTGAAGAGCTTAGATCTGAAAAGGGTATGAGAATGTGTTTGTGTCAGGACTTGCTGTTCTGAATGTCCTTTATTTCGTGAGAGCCAGCTTACTGTGTAGATGGAGAATTCCTTACATTAGCAACCATACATGCATGCAAACACCACACACATGCACACACGCATGCACACTGGAATTAGCTCAGAGTGTGTCATAACCCTATGATATTTGCTTCTTAGGCAGTTTTTCCATAATGTGAACATTAAGAGGGTGATGATTTAGTAAAAAATAAACTCAGAATGTGACTTATTTAGTAAAGGGTCATTTCATATGGAATTAATCCAAAATCCATTTTTCTGAGCAAGGCTATCATCAATTACTGGATTAATTGATTGCCTAAGGGTTACTCTGTCATTTCCTATCTCCAGAACTTAGAGAGGGATAAAACTGGTTGGGTCTCTATATGCCCACTTACACTCTGGAGAACAGAGTAATCACATAAGGTACTACAGTACTTGATGTTACATTTTTGTTTGTTATTGATTGACTTTCTTAATGAACAAAAGTGAATTGGAACTCACAATAAAAGGATAAGCCATCCTGATAAAGTGATAATGCTTGATTTTTAATTCATGAACAGTGGAGGAGAGGCACATTAAGGAAGAAAAACATTATGTAACACGTGTGGCCTTGTGGTCCTAAAAGCAAATCAACAAGAATAACACCTGTGCCAAATAAAACTGACACATCAAATCGACTGTGTTATTTTTAGATTATATCTAAACTTAAAAATCTTTTATTTATAGCACATTGCTTTACAAAAACATCTTAAAGGCTTTTTTATTCAGAATACTGCAAAATAAAATTTCTTTATGTTACAACTTAGTATAATGTGTTTTCTAAATACGTTTACAAAAGAAGGGCAAAGACCTTTTCTATACTTTCTTGACTGTTTTACCCCCAGTATCTAGGACAGTATCTGCTACAAAATAGGCTCTTTTAAAAAGGCATGTATTGGTGTGTGGAGGGGCAGGTGTGCATGCCATGGCACACAGAGGCTAGAGAACAGCTCTTAGGAGTCAGTGCTCTCTCACCATGTGGGTCTTGAGGAATTGAACTCAGGTCTTCAGGCTTGACAACAAGAGCCTTAGCTGCGGAATCACTTTAGCAATCATAGACTCATAACAAATATTTGTTTACTAAATAAATTCCTGAACTGCCTATTTGAGAACTTTGATGTATTAAAATAATATTAAGAAGCATGTAAATCAGTGATGGGTAGATGACTCGCTGTGTAAGATGCTCACTCTGCAAGCATGAGGACCTGGGTTCAGATTCTGAGCACCCGCATTCCCATCATCCGGGGCAGCACATCCCGGTGACCTCAGCACTGGAGACAAAAGGAAACCCTGGGGTTCACTGACCAGCCCTTCTGACCAGATGTGAACTCTCAAAACAAAGTGGAGACCAGTAAAGCAAGACAACGGACCTCTGACCTCTAAATGCACATATGTGGGCATGCACACAACTATAGATCAGAGAATGCCGGCCCTGCGCTAAAGGGGGCTGGGGAGAGAAACACAAGCCAGTTGATAACTCTTCAGGATAGAAAAGTCAGAGTTGTGTAGCAGGAGCTAGAAAGGTTGCTCAGCGTTAGAGCACTGGCTGCTTTACTAGAGGACCCGGGTTTACTCGTCAGCACCCACATGGTGGCTCACAACAGTCTGTAACTCCAGTTCCAGGCTTCTCACGCCCTCTTGTGGCCTCCCTGGGCACTGCATGCATGTGGTGCACAGACATACATGAAGGAAAAAACACTCATACACAAAATTTCAAAAATTTTTAAATTGTGTGAAAGGCTATTTCTGCTTTATCTTCCCTAGTGTTTATCATCATTTTTATTTTTGAGAATTGTTTTGAGATTATGTATTCAAACTTACTATCATAGCCAAAAGGTATATATTCATTTTTTTTTAAATCACCTGAGAAAAACTGAATTTTGGATTCTTCGTTCTTTTGTAAGCTAATACCTGAGATGGGGAATTAATTAAGTATACTTATTTTATCACTGTGTTATTTATGAAATAAGTATATTTTGTAAATTCTGAAAAGATTATTTTTTAAAAAGTATTTCAAAAGAGAAACCTTGTTTGGGTGGTAAATGAGTTTAGAAAGACAAGCTTCTAGTTTTTTTTTCAAATTGCCTAAAAAATTATATTTTATTTTATTATGATATACTAGATCAGTGGTTCTGAATCTTCCTAACGCTGCAACCCTTTAATACAGTTCCTCATGTTGTGCTGACTCCCAGACATAAAATTATTTCATTGCTACTTCATAACTGTAATTTTGCTCCTGTTATGAATCATAATGTAAATATCTGATGTGTTAGATATCTGATATGCAACCCCTGTAAAAGGACCATTAGACTTCTGATAGGTTGTGACCCACAGGTTGAGAACCACTGTACTAGATGGAGAAAGAATTTGTTAACTATTGACTCAGAGGACTATCAGGGAAACTAGTCTAACTTCACTGTTGAGTCTAAGAAACACTATGTATTTTTGTTCTTTATTGTGTAAAGTTAATACAATAAGCCTTGAAACAGTAGTTTTATTTTTAAATGCTTGAATAGATTGAGGCAGGAAAGGTTACCCATGAAAATGGATTTGAATTGCTCTACTTTAAAAATAGTCGCTGCTGTCTTCTAGGTATAGAGCACCAAGACTCACAGCATTCTTTCTTGGCATTTTTGAATACGCCTACCGATGCTCTGGATCAATTTGAAGTAAGTGGCCGCTCTGAATTCCCTCTGGTCTACTTAAAACAATTCATTCTGCTATCTAAAATTGACTTGCATAAGAGAACCTAGAATCATATAAATAAGTGAATAGAAACATGTAAGGGAAGGAAGGATATGCCTGCATTCTTATGGAAAGTATGACCACACTTGTATATAATAAAAAACATCTCAGTCTGCAACCTAAAGTTGTTATTAGACCTAAAGCAGGTTCAGCCCCCTAAGAAACAGAGAAAGCATGAGCACTCACAGTAGCTCACTGCTGGCTCTCGTTCCTGGTCAGTTCCTTTTTAAGAATTATGCTAAGCATACTGCTTTTTGATAAAAGTGCTAACTAACCTACACTCTTGTTAGATTTACTCTGAAATAGTGGTTATGTAGCTCTTTGTCATTCTTTATTATTTAAACATTCTGCTGCAAAAAGGTCAATATAATATCAAAGTATATAATATCAAAGTATGTTTTATGCCAGAAAATGTAACTTATTGGTTATCCCCTTGTTTAGCAATTAGAAATCCAGAATCTCTGTGCTATGCTAAGTTCTGGAAGTACAGTGGACAGGGTTCCCTCTCAAATCGCTTATGTTCCAGCAGGAAGACTTAGAAGCAGAGATTCTGATGACCTATTTCAGAAGTGTACTGTTAATTTAATAATCAGTGGTTTGCTGAGAGCTTTCCTTTTATTACTTTGGGTACAGTAGCTGAATTTCATCCCTTTGGGAAAGGAAGACTCATCCTTTGAAAAGTAACCCTAGGTTCCTTGACAACAGTGACTGCTTTTCTCATTTATTTATTTGAACAAATGTCATTTGCCTTTTAATTGTTTTACAAAATTTTGATTTATTATTTGTTTGTATTAAATTGCTTCATCCATATTTTCTATTTTTTTATTGCTGAATTCGTTAAATAGGATTCCTTTTCTTCTTCCTCATCCTCACTGATTGATTTTTTGGATGACGTAAGTCTTTAATTTTCAAACCAATGCATCCTTCAGTAAAAAAAAGATCAGTGAATTGATTTGAAGAATTTGCCTAGTAATGCAGTTTTAGAAATATCACTTGGAAATTTATGTGAGCTAAATGCTTCATTCTTATTTTAAATATAATTGTTTATCATTATTAAATGTAGTAAAGTAAGAAACACTTTTAAAACTGCTTTGGCCTTTGGCGAATCTCTGTGTTTCCCTTCTTTGCAAGAAAGACTAGAATGCTTACATAAATATTGTCACTATTTGTAAGAAATTGTTCATTTTTGGTTTTCATGGTTTCTGTTTTACTTTCTCCTTTTCTTTTTAGCATCTTACTGTTTCTGTGTTGGTTTAAGATAAATCTCTGGTGGAGAAATCAGAAAAGTGACATTTAAAAAGTGAAATTCTTGTAGTTTTGTCATAACACAGTAAGACTATAATCAATTTTAATGCAGACAGATTTCTCTTCTAATGTGGAAAGTGATTTTAAATTAACATGTGCACTATATACCCCATCAATTAGATGAACTAGCATATTCTGTCTTAATTCTGTAGATTTAATAATTTGGAACTTTGTAGTAAATGTGTGATTTATTTGTTTTCTACCTACACTGCCCATCACATACATTTTCTGTTTCACATCAGATGATTCAGTAATCCTTGACATAGAATTTTGATATCCTGTTGAACATGAGCACTTTCCAGAAATTAAAATATAAAAGTTTAAATGCAAATAATGCAATCAGTATTTTAATTGAGGGGAAATTCATTAAATGTTTTATTCTTAATATTTTGTTAAAGTACAATATTATATTCAGAGGATGATTTCAGCATAATTTTCTACTGAAAAAAATTCTTGATATAATTTTTTTCAAATTACTGAACAACAGAGACTTTTTGGTATATTTGGAAATATACCAAAACCTGTTTCCTTCCTAAATGGAAATTTTTGTTGTTGTTTCTAAGACAATAAATTATGCTGGGTGATTCTATAATATAATTGAAAGATAATTGTCTTAAAAAAACGTGACATTATGTGCTGCAGTCTGCCGTTTGGTATGTTAAAACAGTGTAGTATTTTTATTATTCACATTAGAAAGAAGGAAGAAAAAGTTTGAGTAAATTACTGAGTTCTTTTTACTAATAAACTGTTTTCACATTTCCTTTACAAACTCTTGCCTCCATCCTTTTCTTTCCCATAAACACTCGGATAGTAAACCTAAGAACAGTGTGTATTTCAGCAAACGAATGAACTCTTCTCCATAGAGATCTGTGAAGCGTCCCCTCTGCCAGGCTCCTGCTCTCAGGAGCTCTCTGAGGTTGCCCCTCCGGATGTAATGACTGCACCCACGCCATGGCCATTTCCCCTTCTTTTTCCTTCTCATTCTTCAGCCACTGTACACAGCATAAGCTCGTCTTGGATGTAGAGCTGAGCTCTCTAATAGTGCAGAGGAATTATTCCTAGACACAGTGAAAAGGAGCTGGGTCTGAAAGCTGCTGAGTCTCTGCTTCATGTTCCGACTTTCCCAAGGCACGATGCTGCTGTTCCCTCTGTCCTTCTGTTCTTGTTTCTGATAAAGCTCATAAGCTGGCTATTCCACTTTCTAGCATGGAGTTTGTGAGAAATTACCTGGCTTTTCAATGCCTGCATTTGATCATCTGACAAATAGTTTTGCTATAGTACTGCGCTCATAAAGTGTTTAAATATTTAAAGAAATCATAAAATGCCTTCAAGAATTTCAGGATGTTTCCTTGCTAGGTTGGTTCTCCTCTCTTCATCTCCTCTTTAGCTTCATTTCTTGTCTACCAGTGTGACTTCACTTCACTGCTTTCTTCCATCTTTATTCCTTAGCTTTCCTCTTGCTAAGAACATGAACCACAGTACCTTCTTTGGAATTATAGAGGGAGGGCTAGCACTAAGCTCACATTAAAAAAAATCCTGTTCTTAACTTATACTTTATACTATAACCCTCTTGTTTCTTTTGTTTATTGTTCATGACTGTGACCATGTTTCTCAATGTTAGCCATTCATTTTTGTCATTAAAAAATCAAATACAATTATGTTTCAGTAGTAGCATTAAATCTTTGATATGTTCATGTTCCACATCCAAGATACTATAAAAGCCAAGTTCGATAGCTCCCATTGTTAGGCTTTAGACTTTTAAGGTATAATTGAATCTATATTATTCTTTATCCTAAATCTGGTTATATTATGCATTGTGTTTATAGTGTGTGACTTTCCCTGTATTAAGTAGGTTCCCACATCCCATCCTTCTGGTCATCCCCTCTGTCTTCTGTTATCACTATAGAAGAGAATGTTGAAGGACTAACCCTAATTGCAGTTCAACTTGCATGTTTAGAGAAGAACAGTTTGTGTTAAGCACAATTGCAAGTTTAATTTGATGTTGTGTCTACATATCATCCATCTTCTCCACACACAGGCCCACGGTTACCTTCACGGTTCTCACTTTTACTGCTCAAGGGTCCGCTCCTCCAAATTTACCTTCTGCTCATCTCCTATTAAAACTATCATTTCGTTATTTAGAACAACACAGAATCATTCTCCCATTCATGATTTTTCCTGAGTTTGTTTTGTCTATTTCTCATATTCTGGCAAACAGGAGAAATAGGTTATTCCAGTAGGCAGAGTTTAGGCATAAACTTTAGTCTCATATAAAACCTTACTGAGATGCTCCAGAATATCAGTCTCAGTCATGATTCCTCCCTTCACTGGTGTCTTGATTTTACCAGTGTTCTCACCCACAGTCTGTTTTACCTTCTCTCATAGCTGATCTCAAGGTGAAGATGTAGTCAGTGTGGACAGTATAGAACTACATTTTTGTTTTCTATATTGTCATTACTGGTGACTCCTAATTTAGCTCTTAACGTTTTAGTCAACTTTGAAAGAGTAGGGAGTTGGTAGGTAAATGTATAAAGCAAAGCTGCTTAATTATATATTTTGTGAGTGATTTGTGGGGGGGGGTTACTAGGGCTCAAATAAGTATTTTATGGCAAACAGTAACAAAACTCAATAGATATGTTGTTCTTGAAATTGTCCACTTCCTTGATGGAATGTTGCCATGTGGATCATGATGCGTGTGCCAATGAAAACCTCATCAGTCTCAGACCACACCTGAGCAGTTGATTCCTTACTGTTTGTATCCTACAGTCTTTCCTGACTATATATGTACTTGAACGTATCAGACAATGGCTCTGTGCGTTTGTCTGTATGCTGTGTCGATGCAGAGGGCTGGCACCTTCCCTGTGAATATCTGTAACGTGCTGTTCTCTCTCTGTTGAAGCGCTCCCCGTCCTGTACTCCAGCTAACAAAGGCAGACGTGTAAGAGACTCTGACACTGTGTGCTGCCCGATGCCTCCCGCCTGGCTCTTGTTCTTTGCCTGTGGCTGCAGCGCCCTGAGCATGTGCTGTGTGCCCTGTGCCGTGGGCCACCTCACCCCTGCATGCATGTGCTGCTGCTCCCCCTCCCACGCCTCTCCTCCCTGTGTCTCTGTTCCTTCCATTTTGGCTTTGGCCGCAGAGCTTAGGAATGTCCTTCGTGTAAATTTATATAACTAAGCCACTAAAATAGTAAGATGCCTTCTTAAAGTATGCTTTTTAAATTATTCAAATGCAAGGTAAATGAGTTTTCCAGAGAGAATCTGATTGTGTGTGTGTGTGTGTGTGTGTGTGTGTGTGTGTGTGTGTGTGTGTGTAGAGTGCTGAGGCAATTTGTAGACCTCATTGATTAGATTTTGCATAGATCAATTCTGGAGAAATTGTGAGGTAGGTGTGTTCATTTAATGAATGTCAGAGGAGTTTCCCTAAATATCTTATTGTATGGATTTAGGAAAATAATGTTAATAATGAATTCTATGTGCATTATTAACTCTGAAAACATTGCTTCTTGACCTAAAGTGTTCAGCCACTTCCCCTATCCTACATATTCTGATATGCCCAGGTGGGGAATCTGTATGTGGAAAGGTCTCAGGCTTTTATAAGCCAGCCTCTGCCCCAGCACCCATCACACACATCACAGAGAAGCAATAGGTATCCAGTACTGTTTAGCTAGATTTACATGTACTGTGTTAAATGGCACTAAAGAACATTCATGTGAGATGCAACCTTTTAACTTTTGTTTGTCAACTTCATGGTGAGCAAGCACCTTTATTCCCAAGTTCCTAGATAGGGAACATTTGAGATGAAGTACTTCTTGGTTTGTGGTGAACCTGGGAGGTAGGAGGAAGCCGTTGGTTCTTGTATTCTTCCTGACTGATGAAGGTTGTCACATAAACACTATTGTATTTAAACAAATGTATCACTGGCATTACAGATCATTGTAGATGATGTTGAATAGTGAGGAAGCATTTCATCTGTCAGTGTTGCACTCACTGGACTATGAGCTCAGCTGGCCTCTGTTAGTTAGAGGTCTGGAAAATATTCCTGCTTCTACAGATGTTTGGGCTGTTTTGAAATTTATAGAGGTAAACCATTAGATATTTGGATTTATCAAATTAATCTTAATATATAACAATTTGGTAATGGGAAGGCTATCATTTGTCTGTCCATCTGTATTAGATTTGAATTACCAGCTTGTGAACTGAATACATTTATGAAGGCTTGTTCTTAGTAAGGTTATACTTCAGAAAGGTTTTCTTTTTATTATTGATTTTATTATGTATTAGTTATATCTGCTTGGTTAGCCATGTATCCTGGGAGATTTGGCCACCTAGAACATTTTGTTGATTTAGGAAGTAAAAAATATTGAGGGAAATGACTGCTAGAGAACTAACTACCTAGGAGTAGGATCTTACTCCTAATCCTGTGTCTTTTTACTACAGCAGGATCTAAATAAGCCACTGATAACCAGAACTGTGAGAATTACCTACATGTTTGTTTAACTGCCAGTACGACAGTCTTGATTATCTCCTTTCCCAGCTTCCTTCAGTTCTTCCTTGGCTTAGTATCTGACTTGTTTTTTGGTTTTTGGTTTTCTGAATTTGCACAGTACTGTGTTTGTAAAGGACATGGTTGACAAACTGGGGAATCGTAAATTAGTCAGTAGTGAAATAGGAGCGTGCTGGTGGCATCCTCAGAGGAGTCTGGGACATGGGTGTGGCGTTGTTGTTTCTGCAGGACACAGAAAGTTACCATTCCTAATAATGCCCTTGAATCTAACCTTGGCATATGATTTCATATCTATACTGTGTTTTCAGATAGTTTTAAGTGCTTTTGTAAACTTAAAATATTCTTACCCTTGAAATGTCACAGAAATAAGAGTAAGTATCCTAAATAATGTTGGCCATTTCTATGCTATTGGACCTCATTTTCAGGTTGAAGACTTAAATGTCTATATACGTGATATTTAATTAAACACACTATAAGAAAAATTGTTATAAGTAGAATTGTTAATGTATGGATACAAATGACTGGAGAAGTTCCATCTAATTCTTTTAATACTGAGAGGCACAGAGTGTCTTATTTCCGTTTTTTCCTTTAGAATTTGGAGCAGACACTAGAAAGAGCCACATATAGCTTAATTCCCTGTTACTTTTCCTAGAGTGTAATTCTCTAGAGTCAATATTCAACTCAGTATACTGAAAATAGGTTTAAGAGAAATATCCATAAAGACAAATAATAAGCTACATTATTTGTAACTAGTAAGATTATACTTGAGGACATAATCCTTAGAAATTTGTTATGACTGGTTATAGGATAGTACAGTACTATATTTACTGTTTTCCAATGAAATGATATTTTTATAGCACTAGAAGTTTGTTAACAGGGAACGGTTTCACTAAAAGTTCGAAGGTTTAAGTGTTCTGAATACAAGACATTAGATTCTCTATTTCAAGAATGCTTCTAATTGAAATCAAATTTGATTTTAAAAGGTATTTTTTATTTCAAATTATCGTTCACAATGCAAGCAACATATCAGATGCAAGCTGTTCTTCAGTAAACTGTCACTTGTCATCTCTCAACTCTCAGTCTCTCTCTACTGTAAAACAAGCTGCAGACCAGAACGCTGCTGCTGCTGCTGCTGCTGCTGCTGCTGCTGCTGCTGCTGCTGCTGCTGCTGCTGCTTGTGTGACTTTGGCCTTTTGAGATGTCTAAGCACCAGTGAGTGCATTCAAGAGGACTTGTCTTCAGTAATGTTTACTGGAAAAACAGGCTGTGTATTTGAGGTATTCTTGGTGAAATCACCTAAAAATCAGACAGTTGCCTGGGTCCTGGAAAGAAAAATACTTTTCTTTTATTATACTACCTTAAAAAATATATTGTGAGGATAATTTGCTAGAAAAATCTTAATAGATTCAGGAACCATTATAGTCTTTTTGCATAACACTGTCATGCATTGTGAACAAAAAATCACAATATTCAGCTTTTTTGTTTATATATACATATATAGATATATTCACACATATATGAACTAGTAGAACATAAACAAAAATGACAGTATATAGTAAATGTCTCTTAATCCCTCCTACTCATCAGAATAATTCATCAAAATATGTTTACTTAGAGAAAATGAGTTAACAAAAATAGAAAAAGGTGTTTTCATAAAAATACCTTTTCTCACCAGGTAGCACATGCCTTTAATCCAGCACTCGGGAGGCAGAGCCAGGCAGATCTCTGTGAGTTCGAGGCCAGCCTGGTCTACAGAGTGAGTTCCAGGAAAGGCACCAAAACAACACAGAGAAACTATCCTTAAAAACTTTCTCAGGGGATTATAATTTAAAAGTATTGAATGAATTTTTTACACTGTTAAATTAAAATTTGTTTCCAAGGTCTTCCCTTGAACAATACCAAAATATGCCATCCATTAATATTATATTTTGCTTTTTACTATTCACCTGTTTAATCGTTTTTATAATCATTGAGATAACTGTTAAATTGATATAGCTCTGCTTTTTATGTATATCATATTTTTAGCTTTTGCTATATTAATAACTCAATTAACTACTTAGACTTGGTGCTGTAATATCTTCAATAGTGTCCATAGGCTAAATGCAGTAATAATGATTACATTTTTTTAAAGTTCTCAGAGTTTGCTTATAAAAATGTTAGCTATTTGCGTGTGTGTGTGTGTGTGTGTGTGTGTGTGTGTGTGTGTGTGTAGTTGTCAAGTAATTTTAACATTAATCTTAGGCAGTTTTAATTTTAGCAAATTTAATGAATATCCTGAAATTTTAATTAAGTGCTTTTTAATGGTAAGAATAAATCATTAATTACAAATACATGGTAAGGATTAGGATTTAATTATAGTTAAAATTATCAACATCTTGAAAAACACAATCCTGTTGGTGACAATTAAAACTCTGATGAAGAGAATATGTGACACATTTTTCTCATTTGTCTTGCTAAACTGCATTTGAGATGATATTCATATTGGCCACAATCCAAAACTGATATGATGGTGTAGTCTCTTTCCTGAGCTCTCTGCTTTTAATAGACTCTTTTCAAAAACTTGGAAATTTTTTTAAGTTTGATGTTCAAATAAATTCTTTTTACCATAAGTTTTTTCATTTTTATTAAGCTTTGTTCCTTGTATTTATGAGGACCACACTTAGAAAAGTAAAGTGGTAATTTTTAAACTTCGGTTTTTCAAAAATCAGAACATTTTTGTAAATGATGTAGTTGACTTTAGTATTCCTGCTCACTGTGACTTGGGAATATTAGTAGTGCAGCTACTTAGTTTCTTTAAAAAGGAAACTCATTTGATTTTAAGTGAAATTCTTAGTTTAAGAGCATACAGCTCTAGAAAGCACAGAGAGTGATTTTTGTTGTTCTATTTTATTGTAATTAATACTGGTTTATCTTTCTAAAATTTAACGGCATTCTCAATATAACCAGAGTTTACTTAAAGCAGCTAAGAAAACCATTTGAATCTCCTCATTTTTGTTCTCTTTCATTGTCACTAATTAGTGAAAACTGATAATAGGAAAAGATAAATTAATACATGGCAAGGATTCTTCAAAAGAACAAAGAGGTTTAAATTAAAGAGCTCAAGGGTTATTTGAGTAAGCAATCACAAATTAAACTGATAATGGATCGTTTTCTTTCTCTAGTGTCTCACTGCCATGTCACATTGTTGTGGGATCACAAAACACGCTGATAAATGTTTCAGCGTCTGATCTGGTTTGATCCCTGAGACATGGAAGTTCTGTGATATAAACTTCTGTTTGCTCACATACCGAGAAAGTGGTGTGGCTGCATGTTGTGATCCCACCGCTGGACAGTATAAGAACAGCGCTCCCTTCTGTTAGCTCTCATTCTCATGACGTAGGCACAGGGCCTGCTGTGAGAGTTGAGCCAGTATTGGTGAAACAGCAAGCTCTCTGCCCTTTGTTTTAGAGATACTGAAGTCGTAAGAGGTAAAAGTCATTTGGTCGTTTATTCCTATTCTCAAAATCATCCTCTACTCAGGGTTTTCTGTCTTGCAGTTGAGCATTAGGGCTCCAGGCTTTAATGATAACTCACAAAATTTTAGATTATTCTTAAAATAGCATAGTTTTCTGTATATAATGAATCTTCTACTTGCACACTCCATAAAATCTTATGTGATTGAGTCAGTTTTAAGTTCTGTTGAAAAGTATTTCAGGACTGCTTATTCACCTTGCAATTTAAATACTTATATAGACACTAGAAAGGGGAGAATTTTAGGAAGTGAAAAACACCCCTGCTTTATGCAGCTAATAATTTGATCTGATTGCCTTCTCCTTAACTGTCCCCAAATAAACCTGTGAACTGGGCAAGTTTGTCTTGAGTCTTATTTTAATCTTTTACTCTCCTCTTCTTGTTCAAGGTTCACTGTTAGAAAACTTATCTTGGCCTCTATGATCCTTATTGCTTTGAGTGCTTCTGTCATGGAGGCACCATGGTAGAACATAGAGGCCGGGTGTGCAGTGAAGAATGTGGGAGTCAGGCCTAACTTGCAACTTCTAAAAGCAGACCAATTTATGGAATCATCTTGGCCACACAGACACTTGTAGAGTCCCTCTGTAGTTCCAGTTTTTAAAATCTAAGAATGAAAGACTTAAGTTGATTAGTAACTGTGTTAGTTATTCTCACCAAATCCTTACTTCGTTGTTTGAATGGTGGCCTGTGCCCACCACCCTAAGAGGCCTTTCTGGGCCCCCATAGAGGGCCGTTCCTGGTGTTTGCCACTACTATTCTGTAATTCTTGCAAAGTTGCCAGATGATAACAATTCTCCATATTGAACAAAAGTTGACTGTTTTATATGAGCAACATATCACAACTCCAGAACAGTATTTGTTCTGGTTTCATTTCTGGTTTGTGACTATAAAAACTACAACAACAACAAAAACCTGATCAAAAGCAATATAAGAAAGGATTTAGTTGGTTCACAATTCTCATCCATTGTTGCAGTGAAATCATAAACCTGGTCACATCCATAGTCAAGACCAGAGAATAATAATGCACTCATGAGGCCCGCTTGCTGTCATCTGGCTTATATTTTTGCTTACATAGTCCAGGACACCCTGCCTAGGGAATGGTGCTACCCACGATGGCTGAGTCTTCCTACATCAGTTAACCATCAGGCAGATCTCTCACTAATATGCCCATGGGCTAACCTGATCTAGATAATTTCTCATTGAGGCTCTCATCCCTGGTTACTCTAAATTTTAGCAAGTAGTTTTTTAAACTATCCACCACAGTATTCTAATCTAACTGTACATGAGAAAATACCCCAAATTGAGAAGATTATTTAGTATACTTAGACATAGAAATCACATGCCCAGAGCCCTTATCAGCATAAAAATGGGAGCTGGAAAGTTAGTCTGGGAAGCTGTTTCTGATCTCTCTATTCCTGATCACTTACCATTCAACCCAGAGTTTTAAGAGATTTTATTTGTTCACATAGAAGGGTCCTTAGTATTTTAAACAGTGTTCTAGTCAGTAGTGTTAATACATATTTTCATGTCTGTAAATCTTTCATCAGTTGCAATTTAGAGGGGGTGTGTTTGTCTGCCCTCGTATCATCTCCCCAGGAGTAACCATAGTAATAATAAGAGAAGATAGTTAAGTCTTTTTGTTAGAACATTATTCTTTTAAATATATTATATTCAAAACAAATTACCCAGTCTGCCCTAATTATCTTCTTTAAACTCAATCCTAGTAATTTTGAAAATTACCAGACTGAACAGATTATACTGAACAGATTATAAGTATGTTTCATGCTAACTTTTAACACAAAACATTTT